AAAAAAAAAGGAATTAACAAATTTCTTATTACACAAATAGGAATATTGAATGGGAATTTCAAATGGCTATTTTTTTTTTTTTCTTTCACCTTCTATTTGTCCTTTAGGAAAATAACACGAAAATAAAAAGAGGAAAGAAGCAAAGATTAAGAAGAATATATAATTAAAAAATACACTCCTTTCTTATGTCCCCTTTGTGAAATATGCTTAAAATGCATTACATAACATGATATGTAACTTTGCGTCCTATCTGTAGTTATATTATGCATGGTGTGTTTAATTAAGATCATAAAAGTGTATACTGTCATAAGCAACTATGCTCGTCTCTTCTCCGTTATTTAACTTTATGCTTATAATTAAAACATATTTCTATTGTAGAACGGAATATTGAGCAGCGTCTGTTTATCCTGATATGTTACACTATTTTTCTTTTTTTCTTTTTTTTTTTTTCCTTGGGTTACAATTTTCCTTGGAAAATTTACGATATTTATGAACGAAAAAAAAAAAAAAAATACATATGCAAAGGCATATATGCATAAATATACCTCTATACATACACCCATTCGCCACCATTTGCGCATAATTCAAAGTAACTCCAAAACCGTTGTTTCTACACGAATTATACATTTCGAAAGAAGCGCCCAAAGTAGAAAAATGGGAAATATTGTATCCTGTTGTTCCCTAGATGAAAATAAAAAATACTTGAATGATGACGAAATATTGGAAAGTAATCATACGTAGAAATAAAACCCCTTCCGGGAAAGATCACTCGCCTCCATAGAGTGTTACATGAGCAGTTTGGAGCACTCTAATGTGTTCGCAACGAGCACGCATCGCATGTTTCCACCATGTGTGTATGTAGACATGTGTATTTTCTCCTTCCTTTCTTACTCGTACGTGCATCACACACGCATTGCCCTTTCCCCCCCTATATTTAGACTTTTCCAACAATGAGATAAACGAGTTTAAAAAGCGATTAAAGAACAACATCCAAATAGTTGTCTTGCTACAGGTAAAGAAATTTTGTCCTGCATTTGAAGGTGTCACAAAAGATGGGGGCTTATTAACTGTTTATCTGTTTGTCCTCTTGTCCATTTTACCAACTTTCCTGTGCACTCTTTTTTTTTTCGAAAATGCAAACACAATGTGGTATATTCCACCAGGGGATCCTTTCCAAGCGATGTGGCCCCACCCATACGGGCCATTCCTACAGGCATCACGCTTACGTACCTACTTACGAGCCCTTTTTTTTTTTTCTCCGCAGGATGGCACAAAATTACCGTGTAATTTGCAAGGAAATTTCAACGAAAAGACCCTGTGCATATCTTGCCATCAGAAAGTAACTAATTGAGCTCATTTGCTTCTCACTTTTGTCATATGACGACAATAACGAGAGTGTGCCTGTGAAAATGTGCAACGTGTGTGTGTGTACGTATGGATACATAGGTGTGTATGCATAACACGGCACATTTCGTTAAAGCAACGGTGCGTTCATGCGGAAATGAACGTGCTGGGGAGAAGTCTCGATGCTAACGGGGGTCACTTCGCCACCGTTACTCCACCGCTGCTACTCTACCTCTGTTTCTCCACCATTGTTATCCACCGTTGTTACACTACCCGCGTTTCTGTAACCCCATTCGCAGGTGAGGATGATCAACTTCAGCGACATTCGATCTTTGTTGTATGGAGAAGAGCAGCTGAAGCGCGTGGAAACTCAAGCAAATTTGATCAACGACAACTGCTGTTTAGCTTTGCACTTAGACGACAGTGGCAATTGTATCCCCATAAAATTCGGAACTGTGAAGGAAAAAAATCTATTCATTTTTATTATGAGGGATTACAAGAAAATTTCCTGATTTGATTGATTAAGGCTTTTAAAAAACAGTTCCTTTTGGTTTCTTTCCTTTTGGCAAAATGATAAGAAGTGCTTTATGCTTCGTACTCTGACGACTCCTTGACAGCTCCATTTGCATTTAATGTTTCTACTCCTGATGCTTTTCGTTTGCCCCCTCCCTGTACCCCTATTAATTCATCCCCTCCTCCCGACCGCCGCCCTCTCGGCGTGCCGCGGGGGGTAGGCCAATTAGTGCTAATATGTAACTGTGTGTAAAAAAAGACGTCTACATAATTATATGTGCATAACTATGTGTAAGTGATTATATGTGCGCAGTTGTATACGCACGTAAATTCCTCCACGTGCCATGCGTATGTGTGTGTGCATCCGTTAAAGAAGCATCCATTTAGGGGTCCACTTTCGATGATTCTTTCACCAGTCTTAGATCGTTTTCTTTAATTTCTGGGGGAAGAGTTATCCTCTTCGCCACTTCTCCTTTTCCAACACGACTCCCCGCTTATTCATTTCCCTTTTCGTACCGCCCCTTATTGCTCCATAGCCGTTTTATCCCCTTGAAATATTTTTAAATAAAACTGATTTAAAAAATTTTGATCAGTTTATTTTTTTGTTTCCCTCAACAGATGAAAATATAAACTTGAGCGAATTATATTTTCAGATAATTAACCCACCATTTTTTTTTTCTTTTTTTCCACACATGAATAATTAATGTTTAATATGGTAACAACTGTCTTTACAAAAAAAAAAGAAAAAAATTAAAATAAAATGAAGTTGCGGAAAGAGTAGCTAATTAGGGGAGACAAAATTAAGGCGGCGGGGATGACGCAGTTGGGGAGAAACAAGCACACTTTTGGAAGTAGCCGAAGTTGTAATAGCTCCTTCCCGCCGTTCCCGCCTTCTGCGACTCTCCACGACGGTAAAATAATCCCCTTCAGTACAGAAGCTCCACGCTGATGGTCAGTTTCAGGCCCTTTTCATTGAAATAAGCTTTGATCTGCGCAAAGGAGGGGGAAGGCAACGGAGGCAATATGAAAATTTTTTTTTCTTCTCATTTTGACGATTGCTAAATTGCTCACACTCAGCACTTGTAGCGGTAAAGGAAAACATTTATGCACATGAGGGAGGGGGCCTAACTTCCTCCCTACAAACGCTCAACTCAATCTCGCGTTGGCTGGGTCCTTACATTTTCGCTTAAGTTTTGCTTGAAGGTCAAAGTCATGCAATCATCCGGTCTGTAAAAGAAAAAAAAAAAAAAAAAAAAAAGGAGATGTACACATATATACGTGTATGTTTTCTACGCAGCAATCATTTGGGACATTACCTGTTAGACACGTAAATCTCGACGGTGCTGCCTTTTTTCAAAATCTCCAACTCTTCGTATGAGATTCTGTTGAAGGTGACGATGATATGGAGGTATCTGTTGGAAAAAAAGGAGACACATAGTGAACGTCGTGGGAGAAAAGAGGTGTCAATGCGTGGGGCTAAACTTTTACAATTTAGCGCTCACTTTTCCATTTCGAACTCTGACCTATCAATAACTGTGTAGTGATACGACTTCACCTGCCTCGGGATGCGCCCCCGTTCACCATCGTCATTTTTCCCCCGTTTGGTGGTCCTGACCGACTGTATATCATTCAGTATGTTACTGGACGCGTCGTATATTTTTATTTCATCTTTCTCTTCCTCCTTAGTATCATTACTCTTAAGCTGTTTTTGACTTAACATGTTGTAAAATTTTATGTCACTTTCGTCCACCGATGTGGAGTCTTCTCTTTCTAATGTGCCATCCACACAATGCGGATTTAAAAAATGTTTCGTCTTCGGGACATATCCCAAGTCGTTATATTTGAAGCAGTTCCCATTTATTCGTACATCACTGCTAAGAATTTGTTCTGACTCATTTAATATTGTTAATATTTTTTGGATAATTTTATTTTTAAAATATACATTGTGGAAATGCTTGTGAACGTCCGAGTGAATAACAGCTTCTGCGTACATGTCTCTGGAGCTTTCTCCTTTTATTTTACACGTACTAATGGAGATGTTATTGTAATTTACTTCTTCCATGTTGCTAGGGAAACTCTTCGGGAGCGTGGGCGCTTTCATTTTGCTGCTGTGATATACATACACATAGTAATCACAGATCTTCTCTTTGTGCTCACTTGCCTTTGTCTTGATTGACACTTTTTCCACGTCCGTCACGATGCAGAAGCAGAACTTGGGTTTGATCGCCCTCAACTGCTTCATCTTCCCCATGTGTTTGTCCATAAATTTATCGTACGCCTAAAAGGGAGGGGAAAAAAAAAATACGAGGCATCACGGGTTCCTTCCTTGTGGTGAGAACGACGTGGGCGGAGCAAACGGTGCAGCCGATGAAGAAAGTATACTCCCGCTGCTTCCGCTGCTCCCCCTGCCGCTCACTAGTTTATGCTCCCTCCTCCTCACCTGCTTGTCACTTTTGTGCAAATCGTTGAGGGCATCCCAAATACACTGCGCGCTTTTTAAATCCATTCTGAGCATGGCAATGTTGTAGTGTAGCAAAGTGGGGTTACGCTTCACCAGTTTTGCTACAAGGCGGGGGCATACTTTGGGGAAAATCTCCCTGCGGTTTCTCAAATTAAGAACAGTCAAGACGAAGAGGCTTAGAAGCCATGATCTAAACACAGGTGTGTTCTTTTTAACAAAAGGCACTTTTCAATTAGTGCCCCTCAGCGGTCCCAATTGTGATAGCAAAACAGCCCCGTTCAATTGTGCACTTTAGAAAAATGACTGAAAAATATTTGTCTATATTGTTTGTCACCTCGGGTGGGGTAGACACAAAATGTGCATCCGTTGCGCTTCTCAAATGGGCATACATAAATGTCGCGTCTGATTCGTTCGGTAGGTTTCGTATGACCCAATCGTCTTCATGGCTCAGATCCTACTAAATATGCATGGCGCCTTTTTTACTAAATTGTGGTCACCCTATGGGGGTCGAATTAAGTCGGATGCAATTCGCGCGTCGCGCCTACGCTGCAAATGTACAAAAAAGCGGTGGAGAGAGAGAGAAAAAAAAAGTACAATTGTTCGAGAGAGGCAAATCGGAAAGGCGGAGAAGTGAAAAAGGGGAAAACCGATTTTGAAGTGCTCCACGCATTTGATTAAAATGGACATGCGGAAGGAGTAGTGTTTGCTTATTTATTTTTTTTTTTCCACGCCTTTTCTACACCTAAGCGAGGAGAAGATAAATGCATGCGGAAAAGCAAAACGATGCGCGGTGGGGGGGTTCATCCCCATTTGAAAAAATGTGCCATGCCACGTGGCATCCTTGTACTACAGAGGCAGGAGAAAAACAAATTGAACGGGTCGCAGCAGGGAGCCGAAGAAAAACCGGTTCGAAGCAATAGCCACAAGAAGCTTAACCACGAGTGAGCGCCAAATTACGAAAATGAGAAACCAGCTTCTCTTGACACCCTCTACCCCCCAAAGTGTGAATCACACAAAAAAGAGTCGGAAAAATTAATATGGCAAAATGACGAAGGACAAAGGAAAAAAACAAATTAAAAAAAAAAAAAAAAAGAAACCCCTTTTAAAAGTTCGGAGAAGGCCAACATTTCTAACACCATCAAAAGGAAACTTTCTCCGAGCGCGCATACCAGCCGTTTTTTTTCCCCCACCTGCTTCTCCTTTTTCGTATGTGTGGAGTTATGTTTCCTCTTTTCACTGGGAACATTAAAAAAATCTTCCTCTTCCTAACGAGTAAGAAATGCATAAATACGAATGTAAGGCTGCGAAATCCATATTACAGAAAGAAGGGTTTCTGGGAATGGAGGAGAAGAATTATCCATAGGTACAATGAAAGGAGGTATATCAGGAAAGGCATAAAGCCAAAGATACCAAAGAAAGATGAAGAAAATATAAAAAATAGGAAGGACGATGTATACTGGACATTCAAAGTATATCAGTTAAAAATAAGTTTGCGCAATTTGTACAACTTTGGTAGACTCATTAAGGGGTTACACCTGGAAGATGCCATTGTCTATTTAGAAGCCATACCACAGATAAGAGTAAATCAGATTCTGAACTCGCTGCTAAATTCCAAAGAGAAAATTGTGCACAAATTTAATGGAGATATATCCCGTCTATATATAGACAATGTGCAGATACACTACAACACGCCGATGAAATTTATCAAGTACCATGCTTTAGGCCACTTTGGGCTGGTGAAAAGTTACCGAAATACTTTTACGTATACTATTAAACAGATGAATATAGAAGAATTTTACCATAAGATTTTTATCCGTGGAAATGTGCCGCGCACTTTGTCTCATAATATGAGATTATATTTTCATCAGGACAGAATCAACATGGAAAATTTAATTCAATGGTATCCCTATATTTGTGCCAACTCTAGGTACTACTTCAGGGAGAAGTTACGTTACCTTAATAATACCTACCAGTTTGATTATTACAAATCGAGGCGCGCCTGGATAAAGAATTATTTTAGTAATGTGGAGCGAAGGACCATGGAGTTGAAGATGCAGAGGAAGCTACTCAGCGATGGTCTTACCCCTCAATAACAAGAGAAACCCCTAAACACCACACGTAGTTTGTTTATATCCCCTCATTGTGTCATCACTTCGCTTGGTCTACGCTGCATTTTCGACGCGCTACCATTACACACCCGTTCTGATCTACTGAGTGTAATTAAAAGTGGCTATTTTATTTTGTTTGCCTTTTTGAGAGTTAAACACAGAAAAAAGAGAAAAAAAAAGCAGCGGGGGTGTAACAATGAGCACAGTCAGCACCCCTGGGACTAACTTCCTCGCCCATGCCGCAGAATATTAAAAAATATCAGATAAAAAAAGGAAAAAAAAAAAAAAATTAATAAACGTGAGATGGGAAAGGAGGTTGTACAAAAGGGCTCACAGTTCATCATCATTAAATTTGTCACCGCGTTCTTCGTTAAATTGGGTTATGATGACGCCCTGCGCATGGAAGGGGGGAAGTTTTATTCGCATGGAGTAGTTAGAACGCAAGCGATGGGTGTATACGCAGAAGGTGCACAAACAGACGGTACACACGCGACGGGTACACCAACCCACACATGCAGTGTCCGCACGCCCTCTTCGCCTTACCGATTTGGCCCTCCACTTCTGCTCAGCGCGCGGGTAAGTATATCTCATAATGCATGCCTCCAGGTGATTCAAAATGGGGCAGTTGTGGCAATTGTACTGATTAAATCTGCAACCGGGAGGGGATGAGGCGAAAAAATGGAAAGAGAAAAATTCCATCTCGATGCGCATGGAAAGAGTTCCATAGAAGTGTGGCAGGCCACTCCTGTCACATGCGCAAACTCAGGGCTGATGCCACCACGTGTGCAAAAAATGCCGAAGAGAAAAGGAACGCCCATGCGTGATGTGCTTCCTCCTCAGTGCAGCGTATTACTCATAGCTTTTGCTCGTGGAGACATATCCATTGTGATCTACGCTCTTTAGATAAATATTTTTCTCCAATGACCAGTAAGGACCGTCCTTTTTGTTTTCACAAATGACTTGAAATTTCCCGGACTCTTTGCTCTGATGGACACTTAGCTTTGGTGCGAAGAAGGGGACGGAGGGGAGCGATAAATGAAATGAAGATAGCGCCAATGGCTCGAACTTGACATTTAACCTTACGCGGCATTCACCCATGTGCACATGTACATGCATACAAACACTCATCTAATCCCGCATGCAGACATGTCTATGTGAACACGTGCGCAACCCCGTTTTCGCTTCTCACTTCATAATTGTTAGAAAGTATGGAGTCGTGCGAGGAGCCCATCAAGTATCCGTTTGACTTGACATGCTTCAGCGTGATGATTTCGTCACAGCTTATTTTGCTTCCCATGAAGCTCTTCACCTCTGAATTCAGGGCAAAATTGGAAGTGCAGAAATGAAAAAAAAAAAATTATATACGTATTGGTTATGTGGAGAATCTGCCCCCATCGCTAAACATCCCTGGATGGCGCTCCTCTGTTTAATAGTTGCCCCCCTTTCTTTTTCGCTTTGTACCATCATAAATGCTAACTGTCCACAAAAGGTTTTCCTCGTTCTTCTTAGTCGTTACTGCAGTCTTTTGGGAAAGAATAAGAGCCATGATGTGTGTGAGGCGGTGGGGGAGGGATATAAAACTGCGAGTGTATGCAAACGGTATATGTGCTTGTACAGAGCATATCCCTTTTTACGACTTCATGGAGTAACAGAAAGAGGAAAGAAAGCATGCCTCAGTGTGGACGCACTGTCTCCTATTCGTAGAAAGATTTCCTCCAAAATAGAAATTCAGTCTGCTGCCCACATGTGGACGTTTTTAATTTCTCTTTCGTGGAATTACCACTAGTTGGTTTCCTGACCCAGTTCCCCATTTCATATCCGTGGAAAAGAGTCTTTCAGAAGAGAGAGAAAAAAAAAAAGGGATAATGGAATGGGTGATTCGGCAGTAAAAACTCACATGGAAGCGGTAGAATGGCACTCAATGGAAAACACAGCCAAATGAAAAATGATCAAAAGGTGTGCCATGGGTTACTCTCTTCCCATAGAACAAGAGGACATCGTGTTTATTTTTTTTATTTTATTATTATTTTTTTTTTTTACACCCTCTTCGGCTAGTTACTATTTTTTCTCATTACTTGTATGACGTTCCAACGTTCTCTAAAATGATAGAACTGCCATCTGTTACATAAAGACAATTATGCACTTTAAAAAATAAAAAAGAGAAAAGAAAGACCCCAACAAAGAGGCGATAATAACTCATCTTAATCTGGTTCGTCTAATAATTATGTGTTGGCTGTGATAATATTTTTTTCTTTTCCTTAGTTCAACTAAAGATTAATTTATCAGTGTTTTGTTAGCTACAATATATATATAGGTGGATATGCCCATAATCCATACATAAATATAATGGGCGGGCACGTACGCGTACAAATTGATGCTAATATATGTAGCATACATATGAAGCCTAAAGGTGTGAGGGGAACTAATAAATTGGGGTAAGGATGGTAGGTCACAGTACAAAATGGCGTACACGTTAAAATTGTTAAAAATGACAAAAATGGGAAAAATAGTAAAAAGGGAAAGAATCGAAAAACTGCAAAAATCGAAAAAATAGAAAATATAAAAAAAACAAATGAACCCTTTTATGTAAAACCATGTACATGTAAAATTAAGAAGAAAAATTCTCCAAATTTTAAGGCAAAATGTTCCGTCAAGTGGAAAAAAAAAAATAAAATATAAAATAAAATGAAAAAAAAAAAAGATTCTCCTTATAATAATTCATGCTGAGAATAATGGGACGAAAAAAAAAGGGACGCACGGCAAGAAACAGTCCCTCCATATGCATATTATGCATATACCCCCACTCATACGCATAAAACCGTATATTTTATTTTGTAAATATATACACGGCTTTTTCCCCTTTTTTTTTTTTTTTTCTAAGAGCTTGCGCCCGAGCTGCATCGAAATGCGCCTCAAAAGGGAAAACGTACCGGATTAGTGCGGAGTAGACTAAATATACCATCACGTCATTTTATTCCGCGCCTTTCTCTGAGTGTGCGCGAAAAGGGGGGCACTTAAACCTTGTGCAAATATTTTCATGTCAATTCAAGGCAGTCGCCCCTATGCGGGCGCAGTTATACTTAGATTATAGAGGCCGGGGGCTGCTTGCCTCACGGGTGTTGCAAAGTACGTTGTAGTGCACGCACTGGTGCGTATTTACCTCAGCACGGAAAGCATAACAAACGCGAAAATGCATAAGCGCGAAAATGCATAAACGCACAAATGTACAGGCTTCCAAAATAGGCATAACTTAAGATGTACACTCCTTGGCGCTTTCCTAAATCCAGCGAACGGTATCAAATCCTTTGAAGGGAACTCTCCGCTGAGCGGCCCTAAAAGGCATTTACAAGTTTGGGCGCACATCAATTGAGAAGGAGCAAACATTTCTCCTTTTTCCATTGCGCACGTAGTGGTTGACGCGAGTTGAAAAGTAACGCCTTCCCCGCGCTACAAACAAGTTTGCTCATTTGGGAAAGCATATACATTATATATATACCCCGATCATCTTATTTTGCCGCCCTAAATGCGCCCCGCTTGTGCATGTCCGCCTTGCTTAATCACCCATTTTGGTTTTCAACGAATTGGTTTCCTCCCACGTCTGCATAAAGTGTATAAAAAGATACATAAAAACATACATACAAAGAAGCATATATATATATAGTTGCGAAAATTAAAGTACTTGCGTGCCCAATTGCTCACCCACGTGTAGCAATAAAATATGACGCCAAGCCATAGGGGGAAACATTGCAAGTACGAATAATTAAATGAAAAACAATTTCTTTTTGTAACCTTCAACGAGGGCATTTCTCGCGTGTACTCATCCATTTCGTTTTGCGACAGATACGAATGAAAAAAACGCTTCTATGAAAGGAAAAATAGAAATAATAGTAAATAAAAAAAATAAAACATATACTTTTGTACATATATATAGCACGAACGTACATATTTGCATAAAGCGATATGTTCCATGTATGCCGTCGCCCCAAGTTCTAACTGCAGCAGGGGATTTTCCAAACAGTGAACCTGTACCCCCCCCTGATGCAGACGGAAGTAAACACTTGCACGTATGTACGCATGTGCGCTCTTGCATATCTTTGTGCCTTCCTATATGCCGACGAATTGACGGCGCTATAATGGCGTAGCCTTCTTGTGAACAATCCAGAGCGTACCGATTGAATGGGAGTTAAAATATATGTAGCCACCTTCTGCGCTGTTTACAACTGTACACATTCGTTTCGAAAGTGAAGAAAGGTTGGCAGAGGTTCGCTCAAAGAAGAAACTGTGAAGAAGCGTGCTTTGTTGCCACCTCGGTGCCGAAGTGGCGTTCCAAAAATAGCTAAAGGCACATATTTTGTGTTCCACGATTTTGAGAAGGGAAGAAAGGAGGAGGAAAAAAAAATAGAACCGCGCAAAAAAGTTCGGACTTCTGTCTCAGCAGACGTGTACATTTCCCAGGTGTACCGCTGTCGGGCAAAGGCTCATCATACAAGGCACACCTTGCGCTGCGTCCCGCGTGTCGTCCCGCGGTTTCCGCATTCTACTGTCGCATTCTGTTGCCGGATTCCGTTATCACCTTCTATTTCCCACCCGAACGCACCATGGAGGACAAAATGGAAGACGCAGGGGCCGTTTTCGTCGACTTGGACAAAGTCCACGACGAGGAAACCAAGCAGCTTTTCGATTTTGGTGAAAAAAAAAAAAAAAAAAAAAAAAAAGAAGTCACAGAGAAGATCGAAGAAGTAATCATTGACGGAACAGGGAAGGTATTTCAAAGAGGAGCCGTGTACCCATACGACGAACTTTTACATCGAATCCAAGATTTAGTAAATAAGCACAACATAGATTTGTGTATATCGAAAAAGTATACCATTAAACCGCCACAAGTTGTTAGGGTTGGTTCGAAAAAGGTGGCATGGATTAATTTTAAAGATATATGTACAATTATGAACAGAAATGAAGAACACGTGTTTCATTTTGTCTTGGCCGAATTGGGAACGGAAGGGTCCATAGCAGGAGAGGGACAGTTAGTTCTAAAAGGAAAGTATGGACCGAAGCATATCGAAGCTTTGTTAAGAAAATATATAACTGAATATGTCACGTGTCAGATGTGCAAAAGTCCGAATACAGCCATGGAGAAGGATAGCAGAACTCGACTTTTTCACCAGCACTGTAATGCTTGCGGAGCTAAGAGGTTAGCTTTTTTTTTTTTTTTCACTGTTATGATAGCTAGCCAGTTAGTAATGATATTGCTCATTGGATCACATTTTATATGCCTTGGGTTTCATTTCCCCTTAATATACTCGCCCATGGGCATGTTTTTACGTCGCCGTTACATTTAATCTCCCCATTTGTATCCTTCACAGATCCGTCACCACCATTAAGAGTGGTTTCCACGCCCTGGGAAGAGGTGAAAGAAGAAAGGCAAAGCATACCAATTGAGGTTACCAAACCGATGGCATACAGAAAGGAGTTAAGTTGTGTCAGAAGGATACGAATAGGCTCAATTTTTAGTACCTCCCTCATGAGAGACATTAGAAAAGAAGAACAAATTTTAATATAAGTTTGATAGTTTCTTGGTCCGTGGGTCCAATGTATTATGCCCTTTTTTACATGCCTTTGCGAATACGTAGACCCCCATGTGAGGATCCATTTTTTGTTAAACGTTTCACGTAAGGCAGCGATGGTGTGAATTCGGAATTGGCACAACAGATTTAGAATAAGAATGGTGCATGTAAAAGTGAAAGGGAATTCTTTTTGTCAGGCAATAAATAAGGCATCGCCGTGAGGAGACAGGAGGGGAGACGAACAGACTAATCTATGTGACGTTCCGTGGCACAGCATACAACAGACATGTGCAGATATGTGTATGTGTTTATATGCATCTGTTTATATGAATCTGTATATATGCACGTGTCTATATGCATGTGTTTATATGTATGTGTTTATATGCATGTGTCTATATGCACTCACATGCAAGTGCAATTTTCAGGTGATCCACCTATGTGGTGATTCAATTCGTTAAGTACATTATCGCTGGGCAGTGCTGTGCAAAAAGGCTGCATAGCGTGTGATGTACCTTTTTGAGCAAATGTGCATCGTTACAGCTGCAGCTTGCTCTGAGACTTCAACCCTCTGTGAACCACTCCCTCCCTGATGATGCTTGTAAATTTAGCAAAAGTAACACTCATGCTGCTTGCTCTCTGTCCCTTTCGCTTTTTAGTTCCACTTGCGTATATATATAGAATATATATATAATATATGGTATATATATATATTTACTTATCTATTCAGATTTATGTACCCGCTCGAGCATGACAGGCGTGCGTACATATCATACATACGTGGGCGCGCGTGAGCATCCGGTAGTTAAAAAAAGAAGTAAAAAAAAAAAAAACAGTGCAGCAGACATTCGCACGTGTAGATATGTATTTGCCCCTCTGCACGCAGGCGCCCACCCATATGTGTGTGCGTAGCTCATGCAGACATAATTATTATTGAAAAAATATTCCCCTTTTTTAAATTAACAACCTCAACGTCTTCACGAATGTACATTTTTGTTTTAAAAGTATGTGTTATGTGTATTACCTGCGCGGGGCGCACACAAACACATGTAAGGAAATATGTACATGTAAGGAAATATGTACATATAAGTAAATATGCACATATAGATAAATATGTACATATATGTATACATATGTGCGCGCCCGCTTATCCCTCTAATTAACACCCCCCCATCAGCCCAATTAAACGCATCATTTCAAATTGTGATGGACGGGGTGCTTTTACAAACACTTCTTACATAGGAAGCTTCACGAAGCTTTCGCGTCTTCGTTGTTAGGGGGCGAATCCCGATTCAGAGCTCTCTTCGAATCGTTAACTATTATCTCGTTGCCTGATTTAGCAGAAAGGGGATGGGGGGGAAAGGAAGAAAAGTGGTCATATTAAGGGAAACGCTACGGGGATGAGCAAATGGGTCAAGAGAAGATATCTTGTTACTCCTTTTTGGGGGGATTTATTTTATTTTTTTCGTTTTCCTTATGGTATGTTACTCTTGTAGAGTATGTAGGAGGAGAGCTTCGTCTTTCCACTAAAGTCAGCGTAGTCATACACGGTGGCATTGTTCTTCGAATGGGAGAAAATTTGGTTCATGTTAAGGAGAGAATGAGCGAACATGGGTACCTACCTGATTGGCCATATTTCTTTCTTAAACGCATTGCACATATTTTAAAATGATTAGTCAGGCCATTTCAAACTTACGTGGTCTTTGATTTGAACGTCGGCTCCGTTTTCTATCAGAAGCTTGACGATCTGAAGCGTCAGTTCGAGGGTGAAGGGTAGTAAGTTTTTTACATGTGTGGAAGCGGTGCGAAGCAAGGCTTAGGAAGGTTTTAGAGGCCGCTTCTGACGGGTAATGCATATCAACGGGTGTTTATATGCCCATATATAGACAGCTGTGCACAAACTAGCAATGTTTGGAACGGTTAGAAGCGTTGTGTGAGAGTATTACGTCGTAGTGCTTGTTTATTATGGCGTAAAAGATGGGGCTCTGTCCCTGCTGGAATGGGGAAAGCGGCATATGGGGGGTGTTGTTAGCTATTTCCTGTGGAAGGTGTCCCATTCACATGCGCAGTATGTATGTATGAAGAAATGCACCAAATTGGTACACGTTCGGCGTGCATCCCTCCTATGTGGTAAGGGCCTTCTTTACTGCTCCACCGTTTCGTCCGAACATTGTCTGTTATGTCCACGTTGGCATCATTTTCGATGAGGAACTTGGCAATGTTTAGGTGCCCATATTTGACGCTGATATGAAGGGGAGATATTCCGTTGGCATCCTTATGATTTATGTTGCTTCCTTTTTTCAAAATTATTCTAGCCATCTTTAGGCTCCCATTCTGGCAACTGTACCAGAAGGCTGTTCTGTTATGCTGTCTCGGCACACCGACGAAGAGGTGGGGTAAATGGGGTGAAGCATCATTTGGAGGTGGTAATTATTTTTCGTGCAACAAAAAGGTGATTGCCCTTTTCTGTATTGTAACATTTGGGCATTCGCACTACAAATATAGGATTCCCCTGCGTGTTAGGGAGAAGAAGTGTTCATACTCCCGTAGGTTTATCATATGCCAGGCCGCTTTCGAACGCGCGTGGGGCACGTATTAGATTAGTCCCATTTTACCGGAGGCTGGACGTAATCCCCCAGAGGAATTTGCAACTTAGACAAGGAAACGACATCTTCGTAAATTCCTATCAAAAATGAGGTTAAATGTGTCCAAGCGGTGGAGCGTCGCCTCGAAGCGTCGCCCAAGTACTGGGTTAGCAAATTCTCACAAAAAAAAAAAAAGTCAATTTCACAGCCCAAAATATAGCAGAGGGCTCATAAAAAATGAACGAAAATGATATACTACCTTTCCTAGCTGCTTCGAGCAATTTTACTCTCTCTTCCTGGGGAAAAAATGTAGCCGTATAGAAAGGGTTACTTTTTTTTGAACGTGTACGTGGCATGGAAATGTGTGCATGCGTTTGTCTGTTTTTGCGTCTATCCGGTTATGCGGCGCTTAGGTTGTCGATGCTCCTCATTTTTAACCGTTGCCATGGCTTCCGTGCATTGCGAACGCGAAGGACATAAAGGGGGAATTCCAAAGGGTGCTTCTGTACGTTACGTCAATCCAATATTCTTAACATAGCACTTTCAATGGAATTTTTTTTTTTTAAATTCGAACGACAGTTTTTTTACGCTAGTTCTCAGTCTCCCTTTCCTGTAGACGCCAATAATTTTACTATAATATCCTTCCCCAATCCGTGCTCCTTTGCGAAAATGAATTTATCGTTTTTTTACTTTTTATATGTGCACATTACATAGGGAGGAATTCGCAAAGATATATGTTCACCAACCTGTGTGTGCATGGTGACGGAAATTAAACCTCTTCCCAATTCTTTCGTACCATAAATGTGAAGTATTTCCTTTCCACTCATTCGTGCCTTCACGCGTAACTACAAAATGGGACGAACAAAGGACAAGAAAGAAACCTTAAAATTGGTGAAAGACAATGGGGAGTCCTCAAACACGCTAAGGAATTACACAGGAGTGGGAACTGTGACATTTTATCTTAACAAAAAATGGAAAACCACGGAGAAGTATTACGGAAATATCTTCCAAGGGAAAAAACACGGATATGGTTGGTCACATTTATCCCATTGTGAAGAAGAAACATCCCTTTTTTATATTTTCTTAGCGCGCTTCTGCGCCTTTTCACTTTTGGCTCCATTTCCACAACATCATAGATCTCATTCGTGTCTCCTTTCTTTTCCCCCTCCCAACAGGTGAGTATAACTACCAGAATGGCGATTTTTACCAAGGGCTCTATGAGCATGGCAAGAAGAACGGGATCGGCACTTATTTTTACAACATGAACGGGAGGCAGGAGAGAGACAAAGGGGGAGGGGCGAGGGGGAGAGACGATGAGAGTAGTGAGGAGGAGGAAAGCAGCGACGATGATAAGAGGGCCGACGAGAACATCGATGATGAAAAGGGCAACGACGAAATGGGCAGCAACCAACAGGAGGATGAGCAAAATGAGGAGAGTGACAAAGACGCGGATAGCGAAAAGGGCACGACCCAGGAGAAAGGTGAAAATGACCAAAGTGGAAGCGATCAAAGTGGAGACGGCGCAAGCGGAGAAGATCAAAGCGAAGGCGACACTGAACAGAGCGATCCGAATGCTCAAGACAAGCAGAAGACTACAAATAAGGATGGTTATCAAAATAGCAAGAAGGGGAAGAAAGCAGCTGTTAATAAAGAAAATGCCTCCAAAAAGTTGCTACACCTTATGCAAAAATGGAATAACACAAAAATGAAGAAAGAAACGATTATCCCCGCGAAAGGTAATTACACATAAATGAGCTATCGCTACCCCCGGCGAGTCCTGTCATTTTTCGTGTGTTTGGTCTTGGCCCTTTCTAGGTTTTCACAATTTTGTACATTTTCTTGCATATATGTGCGCATGTTTGTATATACCGTTGTCCGGTTGACACACCCGAACACCTGCAGAGACCGGGAGCTTCTACTATGGGAACTACGCCAACGGCCTCAAGCACAACGAGGGAATGATGCTGTACAGAAACGGGGACGTGTACATAGGTGGCTGGAAGTTTGGAAAGAAGAGCGGATGGGGTTAATCAGACAAGCGCGTGTGCAGTGTACGCGCATTTATGTACTCATGTATCTGCGTAAGCGGAGCTTCCCATTCGTTCAGACTAGGTCAATGTCCATCACAAACAACCCCTTCCCCGCAGGAAGATACACATACAAAAAGTGTAAGAGCGTTCTGGAAGGACATTGGGAAGACGGATATTTAACGAAAGGGAAATGGATCCTACCAAATGGTTTCTTACATCATTTTTTTCTTTCCTAAAATGACAATATTGCGCTGATCGATCACCTGTGGTGGAGGATATAAACTGCGCGTTGAGCATACCCACTATGTAAAGAAGACCACTTTGTGGTTCTCTGACCCCATGCGCACACTTTTCATCCTTCCTCCGCTCCTTCAGGAACGTACTTCGTGGGGAACTTTAAAAATAATAAGCCGTCCGGAGATGGCGTCTGGGCATTTGAGGACAGAACACAATTAAATGTTTTTTATCATGAAGTTAAACAAGTAGGATGAGAAATGCGAAATGAGAAATGCGAAATGAGAAATGCGAAATGAGAAATGTGAAATGCGAAATGAGAAATGCGAAATAGAAAATGCGAAATAGAAAATGCGAAATAGAAAATGCGAAATGAGAAATGCGAAATAGGAAATGCGACATGAGAAATGCAAAATGAGAAAGAGTAAAAAGAGGTTCACATATTGTTACAAAAAATAGTTAACGAATTGCATATTTTATTCATTTGGTGGATAGCAAATATGGTCACATATTATTTACAATTTGACTATGCATGCAATGCACATGGGCTAGCTGCATCTGTGTACACATGGGCAATATCTATAAAATAATATGGTTGTTTAAAAAAAAAAAAAAAAATGGATACTGACAAAATGAAAAAACTCGTCCACATAATATACATACTTGTACGTCTATAATTCATTCACAAAACATTTAATCACAGAAATTTAAAAAAAATACCAAAAAGGAAGTTGAACAAAGAGATCCGGATATTTTACTGAATTATAAACCATTGTATATTACATCGACCAGGTGAGAGATTTACAAATAGCGTAGGACAAAAGTGGACTTTCATCTATTTTTTTTTACTTCCCACTGAAAAGGTAAAAAAAAA